AAATCCTTAGAATTAATTAAAAATGTTGAAAAGTTTTAGCCCATTTGAGTAATAATAGATTTTTTTTTAAAATTATATACAGGGCAAAATTGTGTATACCCAAATTTTATACTTACGATCTAATCCACCGATATAACGCATTGTTATTTCGCAGTGTCCCCATACAGCTGAAACAACTGGATATAGTTTTTTTCCTTTGAGGCCTTTAAATGCAATGCCTAGGTATTGCTGATCAACAATAAAGCTTAATGTTCCCTCGTCCATATCTAAAGCAACTAAAAATTTATCTGGGACCAAAAAAGCTTCATCATTTTTTAAAATTGCCGGATATGTTACACCAGCCGAATTCTTTGAGTCGTGATACAGTTTATTTCTGCCCAAGTCCCAGCCCCAACTCTGGTCAGTAGATCCAACTAAGCTTTGGTACCCAACAGAGTGCAAGGGTGCATCGCCTGATGCAACCCCTACAACTGCATGAGTACCCCTTTGCCTTGTTGGCCAATATATCTCCCACACGTGTAATCCTTTTGTAAGTCCTACTTTTCCGCGAATGCAGTCTGTACTTTGTGCGACGGGATGTCTATGAAATGTCAACTTATCATCTTCTTTTACGAATATATTTAACGATCTGTCCTCTGAGTTCCATGAATGTTTCAGTTGAACTTCTCGATTTGCTGGGGGCATATCAAGCAAAATATCAATTCGAGCAGGTTTCACGAAATCCGCTTGCAGTTCTCTAGGTATAATTGGTTTAAACGTCGCCTGAGAATCATTACGGTTAACTGTTTTAACGCCGCCACTAATTTTTTGACCCATGTTCATGCCACGGCAGCTTCGAGATCTCCTTTGGTCAATAGCAACTTTATAAGATAATCGAAGACGTTCAAAATCCCTAGGTTCTAAACGAGATAGCACAACTCGCGGGGATAGTGTAGATGATGCAGAAAAGCTTTGAGGACGTCGTCTATCACTTGACCTAACTGAAGGTGTCCGACCACCCTTATACCTGAAAAGATTCCAAAGTAATTTACATGTAAGAAAAAGTAATACTTTAACTATAGAAAGAAAAATTATTAGCTACAATCCAAAAAATTAACTTAAGTAGATATAGTTATACGTTAAATTCATTTACACAACTACAACAAAACAAACACAGTCATTCAAGACTACAGGAATAAATGCGAGCCTATGAGTTTAATTTAATTATCGACCTATACACATATATGTATGCTTTATAT